GTTTGCACACAGCACTATATATTCTGATTTTTCAGCTACAGAGTACTCACTGATTCCATCCATACAAAAAACATGTAGGTATCAATCATTCCTCCTGTTCTCCGATTTTTGTGTTCAGATACAAAAGTAGCCCCTCACTTTATATTTATATGCCAAAAGTAAAAAGTAACCACTTTTTTCTTGTCCTTATACATGCAGTCTTTTTTCAATGTGAGTGGCTTCTTCTGCCATTCAGTTGCTGAAATATAATAATGTTTAATAAATAAAAAAGAAAATCTGTATTTAGAAATGCGTTGACAGAATGTTTTTTCATTCACATAGTTCCTCAGTGCAGATTATTCTCCAGTGCAGAAATGGAGTAGATAATTGGGCACAAAAGATATCAATGAGAAAAATAACTCAATACTATGGAATGGGAAGTCAATAGTGGATGAAAAAATCAAGATAAATACTGTCATCCAATCTTCCCCCCCAAAAAATGGCCCTACACTTCGTATTATTTGAACATCTCCATCCAACAGCACTAAAAATATACATCATGATAATCCATATAATGGATACAATATACAGTATATACTGTATATTATCCATTCATGTGGGTTTAACTTATATTATCTTTGTGATAATAGCCACTCCCTATATTTTATGTATATTGTTCTATTATCCAGCATTGGCAACGCCTCTCTTTTCACCCCCCCCCCCCCCCCAGCGTTCCTTGTCTCCCAGTATGTACACTGTTAGGGTCTTCCATAATTTGCACTCATTTCCGCACTGCTGGGTCTTGTAGTCCCATGTCTGGCCACAATAGGACTTCTTCTTTGTGTCATCCTCCTAGCTTGAAAAATAGTCTGAGTTGCCATAAAATGCATAGCCACATCCACTAGAATCTTGCAACATAACTTTTTGTCACTTTGGCTTTGTCTGTGCTCCACCGGTCTCAGAGTTTGCTTCCTTCTTCCTCCCTTATGGCTGCTGGGCTTCCCTGGGCACCAAACGATAACAGTGGCAGTGACAGCTCCTGGATCTGGATTTGGATTTATTGCAGCAGCAGATGGCTCTAAGGCTCCATTCACACTTGAGTGTTTTGTAGCTTGAAGCTCCAAAAAAGCTCAAACCTAAAAAACCAATTGTTCTCTATGATGCCTGTTCGCACCATAGAGAACAATTAATTTTTTACGTTTGAACATTTTTGGAGCTTTGAGCTGCAAGCTACAAAACAGTCAAGTGTGACTGAAGCCTAAGACCTTTATATGGAAACCTTACCAGTACCTGAGTGAGTTGCTATTATTTGTGCTATTTTTACCATACCGCCTTACTACACTAGTATGGCGCCCTCTGACTGTCTTCTCAATCACTACAGGTGTCTCCCTCGCTACCACCAGTGCTCCACTGGACATCACCCCTTTTCAAAGTATTGTTTTTTTTAATATGAATACATATAAACAAACCCAATACTCTGGTTGAGTCCATAACTAGCCGTGTTTTTATGTAGTTTTTCTCATTATGTTGGTCACAAGGAACTTCCGGTTTACTTAATATTAATACTATCATTAGGGACCTTGAGGCTCCTATTTAGAGGTTCTGCAAAGCTGGTAATCCTCCACAGTGAAAAAAAATTTTTTTTATACTTCCAAACCAGTTTCTTGGAATGCATTCATCCTTCAGATAACCTTTTACAATCTGTTGTCCAATTATTCTCTTTTTTTCTGTAGATGAATATTTGTTTGCTTGTTAACACTTTATAAACACACAAACAATTTGCACTTTTGTGCACAAAAGAGGTGATGCAAAAAGAGGTAATGCAGCAACCTATATTCTGGACAAAAAAGAATTACAAAAATTTATTGAAAAGGTGCACAAAAACTATATCTCTGTGGTGAACAATATAAAAATATGTGAGTGAAAAAAATATAACCAGTTGTGCATCAGATAAATGGTGAAATAACAGTCCCATAACATATAATTCACTTATGCATAACAAAGAAGTAAACTTCAAAGAGAAATATATAAAAGTCCAAATGTGAAATCTTGAAAATGATGAAGGTCCATATGTAAGAATCCCAAACCACCTCACAGGCAAGTGTGCAAGTTACCTTACCAAACAGTAATGATCTCCAAATGATAAGAAACCAACAGCGCAGAAATCATCCAATTGGGGACGGCCACCGCTCAGGATACCACTGACTCCACAGCCTTCATGGTCCTTCACTGGTTATCCAAAGCCAGCACCTCAAAGTAATAATGGGTAGGAGAAAGAACAAAGGACTGTGGAACAGTATGCTAAAACAACATGATTTAATAAGAGTAGATATACTCAGAAAAGTTACAGAGTAACACAGGCAAAACACACCATACCAGGGATCAACAGTGGGTTTACAATATCATATGCCACTGGCCTCACCCTATGCATGTTAACTGGCTGAAATTCAACTCAACTCGTGGGAGACCCTGTCCACACCCTTCCCTTTAGCTTCCTTTCATCTGAAAATTGCCAGGCAGA